TATGGGCGACACCAAAAATATATTTTCTATTTGTATATATTTACAAGGTTTTATCCCCTTTTTATGTTTAATTATCAAATTCAAATGTATATAACCCAAGCAGAATAATAAATCAATGTAAGTTTGTAATATACGGCAATGTCGCCCAAAGGTCGCAGTCTATAGTCCTGTCGCCCAAAGGTCGGATTTGCCCTTAGGACGGGAAACCCTGTCATCGAAGCACAGTAAAAATACTAATACTCTAAGCTCTTTATTTAAAACTAGTACCCCGTCATCAAAATAGATCATGAGAGAGAAACAGTACAAAATAAAAACAACGGGCTATAGATCACCAGCAACTGTGATGTTTAGGATACATACATATGATACAGACATATTGATGTGTAGGATACATACATGTGATACAGATAAATTGATGTGTGGGATGCATACATATGATACAGACATATTGATGTGTAGGATACATACATGTGATACAGATAAATTGATGTGTAGGGTACATACATGTGATACAGATAAATTGATGTGTAGGGTACATACATGTGATACAGACATATTGATTCGTATGATACATACATATGATACAGACATATTGATGTGTAGGATACATACATGTGATACAGATAAATTGATGTGTAGGATACATACATGTGATACAGACATATTGATTCGTATGATACATACATATGATACAGACATATTGATGTGTAGGATACATAGATGTGATACAGATAAATTGATGTGTAGGAAACATACATATGATACAGACATATTGATGTGTAGGATACATACATGTGATACAGACATATTGATTCGTATGATACATACATATGATACAGACATATTGATTTGTAGGACACATACATATGATACAGACATATTGATTCGTATGATACATACATATGATACAGACATATTGATGTGTAGGATACATACATGTGATACAGACATATTGATTCGTATGATACATACATATGATACAGACATATTGATTTGTAGGACACATACATGTGATACAGACATATTCATGTGTAGGATACATACATGTGATGTAGATATATTGACGTGTTAAATACATACATTTGATACAGACATATTGATGTGTAGGATACATACATGTGATACAGACATATTGATGTGTAGGATACATACATATGATACAGACATATTGATGTGTAGGACACATACATGTGATACAGATAAATTGATGCGTACGATACATATATGTGATACAGACATATTGATGTGTAGGATACATACATGTGATATTTACACATTTACGTGTAGGATACATACATGTGATACAGATATATTGATGTGTACGATACATACATGTGATACAGATAAATTCATGTGTAGGATACATACATGTGATATTTACACATTTACGTGTAGGATACATACATGTGATACAGATATATTGATGTGTAGGATACATATATGTGATACAGATAAATTGATGTGTAGGATACATATATGTGATATTTACACATTTACGTGTAGGATACATACATGTGATACAGATAAATTGATGTGTAGGATACATACATGTGATATTTACACATTTACGTGTAGGATACATACATGTGATACAGATATATTGATGTGTAGGATACATAAATGTGATACAGATATATTGATGTGTAGGATACATAAATGTGATACAGATATATTGATGTGTGGGATACATACATGTGATGTAGACATATTGACGTGCAGGATACATACATGTGATGTAGATATATTGATGTGTAGGATACATACATGTGAAACACATATATTGACGTGTGGATACATACATGTGATGTAGACATATTGACGTGTAGGATACATACATGTGATGTATATATATTGATGTGTAGGATACATACATGTGATACAGATATATTGACGTGTGGGATACATACATGTGATGTAGATATATTGACGTGTAGGAATCATACATGTGATACAGATATATTGACGTGTAGGATACATACATGTGATACAGACATATTGACCTGTGGGATACATACATATGATGTAGATATATTGACGTGTGGGATACATACATGTTATACAGATATATTGACGTGTAGGATACATACATGTGATACAGACATATTGACGTGTAGGATACATACATGTGATTTAGATATATTGACGTGTAGGATACATACATGTGATGTAGATATATTGACGTGTAGGATACATACATGTGATACAGACATATTGACGTGTAGGATACATACATATGATACAGACATATTGACGTGTAGGATACATACATGTGATGTAGATATATTGACGTGTAGGATACATACATGTGATGTAGATATATTGACGTGTAGGATACATACATGTGATACAGACATATTGGCGTGTGGGATACATACATATGATGTAGATATATTGACGTGTAGGATACATACATGTGATACAGATATATTGACGTGTAGGATACATACATGTGATACAGACATATTGACGTGTAGGATACATACATGTGATGTAGATATATTGACGTGTAGGATACATACATGTGATGTAGATATATTGACGTGTTGGATACATACATGTGATGTAGATATATTGACGTGTTGGATACATACATGTGATACAGACATATTGACGTGTAGGATACATACATGTGATGCAGACATATTGACGTGTAGGATACATACATGTGATACATATATTGACGTGTTGGATACATACATGTGATACAGACATATTGACGTGTAGGATACATACATGTGATACAGACATATTGACGTGTAGGATACATACATGTGATACAGACATATTGATGTGTAGGATACATACATGTGATACAGACATATTGACTTGTAGGATACATACATGTGATGTAGATATATTGACGTGTGGGATACATACATGTGATGTAGATATATTGACGTGTAGGATACATACATGTGATGTAGATATATTGATGTGTAGGATACATACATGTGATGTAGATATATTGACGTGTAGGATACATACATGTGATACAGATATATTGACGTGTAGGATACATACATGTGATGTAGATATATTGACGTGTAGGATACATACAGTGATGTAGATATATTGACGTGTAGGATACATACAGGTGATGTAGATATATTGACGTGTAGGATACATACATGTGATGTAGATATATTGACGTGTAGGATACATACATGTGATACAGATATATTGACGTGTAGGATCCATACATGTGATGTAGACATATTGACGTAGGAGACATACATGTGATACAAACATACTGACGTGTTGGATACATACAGGTGATACGGACATATTGACGTGTTGGATCATACATGTGATACAGACATATTGACGTGTTGGATACATACATGTGATACAGACATATTGACGTGTTGGATACATACATGTGATACAGACATATTGACGTGTTGGATACCCACATGTGATACAGACATATTGACGAGCTGGATCCATACATGTGATACAGACATATTGACGTAGGAGACATACATGTTCCACGGACATATTGACATATCAGTGAGAGAACTAGTGTAACATCTATAGTCACATCTGCATTTCAGCCATATTGAGACTAACACAAATTACAAATTCCTGATAATACAGTTACAATTTAGAACCCTGACAACAAAGAACGGTGAAAACATCTACAATATTACAGAAACAGAATTGAAAACAAGCATCAATGTCTGGAATCTTATTTATATTTAGGACAATGCAATATAAAAACAAGCGACAGATCGTCAGTAACTCAAGGTAGATCACCATACTGGGGACCTTAGGGACTTGCAATAGATTTGCTACCTGACCGGACCCTTGCTGATTTTACACCATTCCTTCATATGCTGTCGAATGTAAATAAATCCAACGACTAATTAAAATAACCTTTTTTCTACGAAACTGGTAGACCTAAACTTCCTTTTATTGTTTCGGGACTCTCAGGAGGAAAATACTTGAACCCCATGTGGGATGCAGCCACTATCAATCTCAGTTGTTAATTTAAACTACCAATAACAAAACAGTAATAAATAATAATAATAACAGTAATAAAAACAGTGAAAAGTACGGGTGAATGATGACAAAATGTCATGAAAATCGGTCGAATAGTTTCGGAAATGTTCACTTTTTGTTGAGCATGGGTCGTTCTGGCGAAAGGCTAAATACACAAAGTATAGGCGACTACGCTTGTTAAAGGGGTTTGGCATCTCCGACCGTCAGGCAGTTGTTCGTGTTGAATCGGTTAGGTGTGTGTACGGCTCGGGAAAGACCTCGGACTGCGATCAGCGTTACCTTGTTTATTATCATGAGAATTTTCACTAACTTCATTGGTTGGATGTCTTCAATCTTCCAACAGACATATGTGCATTCAGATTACACAAACTTCATCAACCATCTGAATGAGCCAATTTTCGGCAATCTTAAGTACAACTAGACCTGGGTCATCCCATTTACAATGAAAAATGAACAGTGGTTGAATAATGATTAAACAAGATCAAAATCCTTTGAAGATCCGGGTTAGAAATGGTCTTCCAGAGCCCATTGTAAGAGTCGAGTAATCGGGTAGTATTGCTTGCTTACTTGGCCGATGCATGGCGTTGTATAACAGCTGACATCGCCGAGATAACATGACTTGCTGTGGGATGTGAATCCGTTTATTTCAGAGAGGTAGAGTGAGTGAGTGAGTGAGTTAAGATTTAAAGTCACATCGGCAATATCTCAGCCATATCGTGACTAAAACTAGTTCTAAATTCATAATACATACATATAATATATATAACCCTGTCAGCAAAGGACAGTAAAACCACTAGATTATCACAGATTGAGTTAAAACTAGCTAGCATATATCTTTAAAAGTACAAAACTATTTTTGGACAATACAATGTAAAAAGGGGCTATAGATGGCCAACAGTAGAAGGTAGATCACCTCAGAGACGTAGAAGAAAAGCATAATAATACCCTGTAAACATTATCATAATACATATGAATACCACAGAATAGTTACGGTGGTATCAACGATTCATTGATAGCAATAAGAAAAGAGAACAAGGGAGACAACTGAAACACATTTAACGCACATCACATTGCACAATAAATGAACACATTAATAACAAACAGCTTTCCCTTTCAATTGTTTCACTTAGATAATAATACTGGTTTGTAGTAGGGAGTGAACATAATATATATTTTCTCCACATGATAATGCAAAGTGCATGTCATATAGCCGGAGTAGCATGAAACAAAATCACTTCAAACGGTCGTCTTGATTCGTCTGTCCACATAGAACTGGATCCAATGCTTGGTGTCGCCAGTTATAGTGGTGTTCCTCACTGGTTACCGAGGCTGCAGTCCATCGTTACTGAAAGTAATCACGTCGTGATGCAGTGAATGAAATAAGGCCCGTCCAACAGCCCGATACGGGTTAGATATCTGGCGGACGGTCCAACATTACACCTAGATGGTCTGGTAAAAATTGTAGGTGTTCCAGACATCTGAGTAATTCACCATATCTTGGTGTCTGGTTAAATCCATTCTGGGCTGGTCACATTTTGAAGTAACCAGCCCTTATGTCTGGCTTGGTTTTTGGCATATTTCACCTACTGCGTGATGAGACCGGTTTTAACTTTCATCTTCAGTTACCACGTAACAGATATCAAGCTAAATTGTGACAAAATCATAACTGAATACCTTTCCGCTCTGCTTTCTTGACAGGTTTAGCATATAGATCGTCGTCAATATGAAAGGGTTCCAGCGACAGCGTCCTTCGCTCTTGAAGCCCGCTCATGTTGTGTGCATCTGAAATATACATGTGTTGCATATATAGCAAGATATCTGGAAGGTCCTTGAAGGTCTGGGTTAGAATTGATCTTCAGTAACCCATGCTTGTCGTAAGACACGACTAATGGAATCGGGCGGTCAGGCTTGCTGACTTGGTTGACACATGTCATTGTATCCCAATTGCGTAGATCGATGCTCATGCTGATGATCACTGGATTGTATGGTCCATACTTGATTATTGACAGACCGCCGCCATATAGCTGGAATATTTCCAAGTGCAGCGTCAAACAACTACGTAAAACTAAACTCACTCACTCACTCACGCAAAATATCGGGATGTCACCTTCGTTATTACATTTTAGGAGTCCCTACCTGATACACAGCCTTGTGGTAGATCAGAGTTCCTACCTGATACACAGCCTTGTGGTCGATCAGAGCTCCTACCTGATACACAGCCTTGTGGTAGATCGGAGTCCCTACCTGATACACAGCCTTGTGGTAGATCAGAGTTCCTACCTGATACACAGCCTTGTGGTAGATCAGAGTTCCTACTTGATACACAGCCTTATGGTAGATCATAGATCCTTCCTGATACACAGCCTTGTGGTAGATCAGAGTTCCTACCTGATACACAGCCTTGTGGTAGATCAGAGTCCTACCTGATACACAGCCTTGTGGTAGATCAAAGATCCTACCTGATACACAGCCTTGTGGTAGATCAGAGTTCCTACCTGATACACAGCCTTGTGGTAGATCAGAGTTCCTACCTGATACACAGCCTTGTGGTAGATCAGAGTTCCTACCTGATACACAGCCTTGTGGTAGATCAGAGTTCCTACCTGATACACAACCTTGTGGTAGATCAGAGTCCCTACCTGATACACAGCCTTGTGGTAGATCAGAGTTCCTACCTGATACACAGCCTTGTGGTAGATCAGAGTTCCTACCTGATACACAGCCTTGTGGTAGATCAGAGCTCCTACCTGATACACAGCCTTGTGGTAGATCAGAGTTCCTACCTCATACACAGCCTTGTGGTAGATCAGAGTTCCTACCTGATACACAGCCTTGTGGTAGATCAGAGTTCCTACCTGATGCACAGCCTTGTGGTGCCTCCTCTGTTGTTGCGTCCCCGCCCACCTCCACAAAACCAACGTAACAAACGTTGTCCACCATCGCTGAAGGAGACAAACATGTGCAACAGGCACAAGTCAATAAGCTCTGAGACAGTCTATGAACTTGGGTCAAACATATCTTGTTAATGTGCTTTCTCATCAATATCGCAAATATACAGTAAGTCACCATGGTCCCTAATATGGTGATCTACCTTCAGTTATTGGCAATCCATAACCTGTTTTTATCTTGCATTGTCTTCTGTAGTTAATATATTTTAGATTTACATACTACTTTTATATTCATAACTGTGATATTCTAGTTCTTCTTTACTGTCCTTCGTTGTCAGGCTTTCTATATTGTACATGTATTTATGATGAAACTTCTGTTAGTCTCCATATGGCTGAAATATTGCCGATGTGACTATAAGTCTTAATGCACTCACTCTCATCAATATCACTGGGTTGTATTAAAGAATGAACGGTTAAAATACGATGTTGGTAAGGGATTGATATTTCTGAATTTATCCTAACATGAGTATCCTTTGAAGTTTTAGAAATGTAATTAACAAAATACCTATGTCGTTTCCCGATTCTTCTTCTTTATGATCATCTTTTACCCTGCAAGGAATCATTGTAAAATATACTTTAGAATATTAATTATCAAACATAACAGTATGAAACGACAACTATTTGCAAGCATCCGCAATCAAAGATTTCTACTCACGTCTCTGGTTCTTCATCTCTTGCCATTGAAACAAATCAATGCATGTAAGCTGGTAACATATGAACACAATTTACTGATGATGTCAAAATGTTGAATTAAATATATTTTTACGTTAGTCATTATCAAATATGAAGTTGGAAATCTGAGAGCACAGCCCTGTGAGGAAATGGGTCTACCTGTGATGGTGACAATATTTAATTTGATATTAAAATATTTTTTCGAACCGAAGCGAGGGTAAGTATTTTGCCAACCTTTGCTCGATTCGCTCTCATATATAAGACTGGTCAGTTTTCTCTCTGAGAGCAACCCTATTTGCGCTACGGTGCCTGAATACCGCTTCAATGGATGTGTTATTTACATATGGGGAAATAATATGAACAGTGCAAGCATTGGCTTCAGATCAAACAACAAATGTTTATGATGTTGATGGGCATGATATCATGCAGTATACATGCACCATAGCCATCTTCAGCTAACCTGCAGCATGTTTCATGCGAACGACAGCGAAAACCGATGAGGACAATGATGATGACCAGCCCCGCACTGGACCCAGCTATAATGTACACATTGGGGACACCAGAGTGAGGCAAATCTGAAACGTACACAGACATGGGCTGTGAAGTGAGTGACTAGTGAGCGAGGTGGGATTTTAGCAATAGTCAACCAATATCACTACAGGGACATAAGACATGGGCTTCGCATATTGTATCCATGTGGGGAATCGAACCCGAGCCTTTAGTGTAACTAGTGAGGTGCGCTTTAACCATTGGTCTACCCTGCCGACCCTATGTTACTTCGCGCGTATGTACATAAGGTACATAAATCTGTTTCATTCAATCAACAGTAAAACATGTTCGTTCATGTGTTCATTCATCAATGAAATCAATATTTCTTCGTAAATACATAACTCATCTTCATAAAAAAATATGCAAATTTACTTATTTCTTCCAAAGGGAACATGCATATCCAAAACTGTGTAGTGGTAAAACACAACATGGTCATAATACTGTCGTCTCCACATATCTAAGGTTGACAGAATTAATATTAACCTGTAGATATAGGGCCATGGTGTGGTGCAGTGGTGATCAAAGCTGCAACTGGAAAACAAAGGGCAATATCATTCAGAAATGTCGTCAATGATAAATTTCAAGTGAACATCATCTATTTGTATGTGTTCTTTTCCATAGCAGCCCAGTCAACAGTGATCCGTGAGTCTAATCTTTATTTCATTTAAAACAATTCAACAACAGAGGAGTCATTTGTCACATGGACAGGAATGTGTCACCGAATTCTAGTTACACGAGTGTTTTCTTAGCCCTAGCGTACATACTTGTTGTTGGGTCAGGATACATCCCATTGATGGATCATTTGTCACATGGACAGGAATGTGTCACCGAATTCTAGTTACACAAGTGTTTTCTTAGCCCTAGCGTACATACTTGTTGTTGGGTCAGGATACATCCCATTGATGGATCATTTGTCACATGGACAGGAATGTGTCACCGAATTCTAGTTACACGAGTGTTTTCTTAGCCCTAGCGTACATACTTGTTGTTGGATCCAGGATACAATCTTGGACACTTCCTCGTCACATACAACTGAACGTGCTAATGATCGAAATGTTCGAATGTTAAATAGAATGTCATCTCTATTATGACTCTTCATAACCTATTTTCGCCCATCCCATTGATGGATCATTTGTCACGTGCCCTGGAATGTGCCTCCTAATATTAGTTATGCAATAACGTGTTTTCTTAACCTAAGCATGACGTCACCATGACGTACATACCTGTTGTAGGAGCCAGGACAACAACATTCAGGTTGTTACTGTAGTAGTCGTCAACGCTGCATCTCCACACGGATCCATCCAGGCCGGAGTTAATCTGAAGCATCACCTTGTGTACTTGTTGGTTGTGTCACATTGATACGTCCTGAGACTTGATCGTATTCCGTTGTGTTTGAGTCATCTGGTAGTACTTTCCCCAACTGTTTGAAATATCGCCTCTGTGTTTCTGTACCACCTCACTGCAGTTAACGGCGGGATATTATCTGTTGTTTTACTGCAGGACAGTGTTAGCAAGCCACTCTCTACTACGGAAACAGGATCTCCGGTGAGGTCAAGGTCAGTACATATCACTGGAAGAAACAAAACTAAATTCATACATTTTATTCTCTCTAAACGAGTGGTTTTGGTACCTGTTTTGAAATATGAAGTAAAATGATAATATAAGGTAATACACTTATGGAATGTTAGTACGTAAGTCCTGAAACATTCGAAGTACATTTGAATTTACCAAATTATAAAACCGTTGCATTTTTTTTAATTCTAAATCACGGCATAATTTGCTTATAATCACCAATGGCCGAAGAGATGGTGTAAAGAGATGACCCAGCTAGGGTCCATGAAGATAGCAAAGGCACTGTAAGTCCCCATGGTCCTTAGTGTGGTGATCTACCTTCAGTTGCTGCGATCTATAGCCCAATTTTATGTAGTAATGCCCTAAATAGTAGATAGTTTTAAGTAACATGCTTGTTTTAATTTTCTGACTGTGATATACTATAGTTGTTTTACTTTCCTTCGTCGACAGATTGTATAACATAAAATCCTAAAGTATTTCTTGTTTTAGTCACTATATGGCTGAAATATTGCCAAGGTGACTTTAGATTTTAACTCAAACACTCACCATGGAATGTTATGTTGTTTAGGACTCGTCATGAAATAAATTTAAACATTTCCTCATCAGATACCACCAGACCTTTCTGTTAGAAGGAAAGAAAGAAATAAAAATGATATTACACAACCAACCTGTCATGACGAACATACTGCACACTGCAGACCACGTTGCCACCTTCAGATATATTCTCATGATCTTGATTCTGTAAGGTTTCAAGGTTCATCTCGTTGTTAATGTGATGTAAATCGCTGTATTCCAAGTATAATGTAATCATTGTCTTGTCCAAAAAGGGAATTGCTGGCGATCTCTAGCCTTTCATATATTGCATTGTTAAGAATAAAGGTTTATTGTTATGAGTGAGTAAATGAGTTTAGTTTTGCGCCACTTTTAGCAATATTCCCAGAATATCACGGCTGGTGACACCAGAAATGTGCACATTGTACCCATATGGGAAATCAAACCCAGGTCTTCGGTGTGACGAGCGAACGCTTTAACCACTTACCCGAATGCCCTGTATGGTTAATAAATTACATATCTGGCAGTCTATGAATACACGGTGTCATTTAGAAAAACGTCAAATGTAACGCAAGTTATGTTTTACGACACTTTCATGATTTTTAAACGATTCAAGTACTTTTGTTAGGTTGTTTAACAGTCATTCGATGATTGGATTTTATAATAAAAACGTGTATTTGTTATGTACACAATACATTTGGATGTGTATTTAATTCTAACTCACTCACTCACCTTAAATGGGAAATTGAAACCTGCAAATTCACCTCCAAACGTTATCCACCACGTAGGTTTGATCAACACCCTTTGGGTATATAAATATCCTTAGCAGATGCTTGTGATCTGGGTTATGAAACTAGTTGTGTACACACATACGACACAGTCCGTTGTCGCTCTTCTCTGTTTCTATCATTGTATGTGCTGGTATCACGACATATTTAAACAGGAAACATCATTAACTTCCTCGTTCGTCAAGTGCATTTGTGAATCATCCGTATTATGTTCCCTTTACATATAAAATGCGTGGACGTTCTCTTTTAGTGACAATCATTCAGGGTTGGGTGAGTGAGTTAAGATTTTAAGTCACATCGGCAGTATTTCAGCCATATCGTGACTAAATCAAGTTATAGATATATTAATAATTAAAGGTAAATGATAACATTCTGTCAGCGAAGGACAGTAAAACAACTAGATTTTCACAGATATAAATCTAAAACTAGTAAGTAAATCTAAAATATTTTAACTATAAAAGACACGACAATATAAAAACAGCCTATATATATTGCCAACAACTGATGGCAGATCACGATACTAGGTACCATGGGGACTTAAAGTACATTTGCTTCCTGCATGGACCTTAGCTGGATTTACACCATCCCTTCAGCTAAAAAGCAATTTTAGACAATCTAGCCATAAATTAAAAAAAAGATACATTTTCTACGATTAGAATACTAGAGAGTTTTACTTTACTTTAAATGTTTCGGGACTTACGTACCATTACGGCGATATATACATGGTACATTGTGTGTCGTTGACGTTTTGTGTTTCGAAACTTTGAGTCACAGATGTTACTAAATGTAGACTTACTTATTCATTCGAGCTCATACTAACGAACCACATTTCTAAGTAACTGCATTTTACTCTGCAGATCCGCGATCGCACGGTCTGCCATTAAGTTAAGTTTATGGGTTTAACCGTTGGTTATGATCATGTAAATCACTGTGTGATTCCCTGCTTGGTGTAAGACAATCTCAGTTCGTGCTATCCGACGCTGTGGTTTCATATTTATATTTTGTAGCGAAACGAGTGAGTGGGTATGATTTTAACACTGCTATTGCAGTACCACAGTGGAAAACACCTGAAATGGGCTTCACACATTGTTACCCATAGTGTGGAATCGAACTGTTCCCTGTGACGAGTGAACACCATAACCACTAGTCTTTAACTATAAACTCCTGATACTAATTGTAGACTTTCGTCCTTCAGATACGTCTCTTAAAACCAATTACAATGTCATAGTGAGTGAGTGAGTGAGTGAGTGAGTGAGTGAGTGAGTGAGTGAGTGAGTGTGAGTGAGTGAGTGAGTGAGTGAGTGAGTGAGTGAGTGAGTGAGTTAATACTTAACGTCACATCGGCAATGTTTCAGCCACACCGTTACGAGAACATATTTGACGTTGTTAAAGAATATGGGTATATTATAAAACCTGTCGTCAAAGGACATTAAAACGGTTAGAATTAAAACTAGCAAGTAAAGGTAAAACTAATAGCACTTTTTGAACATTACAGAATATAAAAACATTCTACAGATCGCCAACAAATGAAGGTAGATCACCATACTGGGGACCATGGGGACGTACCATTACAATGTCATAAGTATTGCTATTAATCGACAATTACACAACATGATGATGACATCAGGATATATTTTCGAGGTTGTACAACCAAACACATAGACATGGCATTCAAGATAAAACGTGTAATTCAATTCTTCACTGTTGTTTTGTTGGGTTTTTTTGTCAGCAGGTAGTCCACATGTTTTTTGTCATTTGGCTGTCAAGTACATCATTGTGGTGCCCGTTCACTGGAAATATATACCCTTGATTACATGGGATGTCCCCACTTACTCAACTCCTATTGTTTCAGTAGAAGAAATCACTAAGGTGTGATAATCCCCTCTAATCCCTTATTTTGTTCCCTGTGAAATTGTATCCGTGACGAAATGTGATAAATTTTAAAGATATCCTCGTGTTATTGGCTATATGACGCTTAAATATTCGTAAAGGACAATATTTGTAAAACATGTCATTTTTCCAAAACATAATCCGACTAAGGAAACTGTTCAATCAATATTGAAATGTTCAGTTGAATTGTCAATGAACAGTGAGATTGGGTTCATTTGTAGTGTATTATCTATTCATATTTTTCAGATTCTTTTTGTGATGCTAACTGTTTCATTAATATGTTGAACAATGGTTTCTCTTGTTGACCTCACATGGATTCAAAGTTTTAAAACAGGAAGTGAACGAGTACTGAGTACATAGTAGTGTATGGCTAAAGAGTCAAGGCAATTTGACATGGCCCACAATATTTTCTAAATGACCCACATAACGGAGGGCTGGTGGACCATTGGGCTCAGCTTTTAGAAATGCTGGAATGAACACTGAAACCGATTACAAATGTATGAATGGACTGTTTATGATGTGACAATTTGCAATGGTACTGGCTACAAAGACGTATGGGTAGGAGAATGATTGGCAACAGCTGATGTCTGTTTATGTTGTAATCTAAGCTTTGTAAAACACTAGCTTCTAATCCAACCATGCTGATAATTAGGAAGTCCATACTTCATTCATAAGTAAATCACACTGGCTTTCCCTTCAGTTTACATCAAAATTAATAACAATTAAAAATAAAAAAAGAAATGTGATAAAATATCAGCTACTTTTGACTCAATGTACTATATATACAGGTTATCCAGTTATAGAAGTGAATACACATCAATACTTTGAAATATAATAAATAGAGATTATTAACCGAGTGTGTTTCCGTATCATTAATATCATATATTAGGACTACATACTTTTTTATTCCTAATATATGATATTAATGATACGGAAACACACGAGGTTAATAATCTCTTTATCATATAATGTCATTCTTAAAATTACTCTAAAAAAAAAGAAGGAAACCGTACGTGAATTTATATGAAGAGAATCGAGACTTCGCGTAAGAATATTTAGCGGTACACCAAGGTGAAGGTCGTTCATGACGGCGGCATATGGTTGTGACTAGTTGCTAATACAGTGCAAACAAAACTCATGCTTAAAATGAGATCTTTCTGTCTAAGATGAACAACAAAACCAGGCAGGGTTTTCCTGGCAGTGTTTCTATTTTCATTGCGGGTAATAACCTCATCAATATCAGTTTCTGATACCTGACGGTATCGATTGTCGTCTGCATTGTGATCGATAGATCGAAATGCTTGGTTGGTACCTTTTTTAGACGATTGCCTTTCAGTCGTGCCTCATAATCCATAGAATCAATGTGAACGAAGTATTCCGTTCATGTTTTCCAAAGTCAATTACTGCAGTCAAGACTCCAGAACCGCAGTTATCAATTCTTACAGAATCACCAATTTTGAGAATGGGGGCAGCCATGTTTGTTTTCAAACAATGTAAACTCGTGACGACGTCATCAATGAAATGTTTACGTTTCAGGATTCGCATGGCGTGTATGGAGTTTTGTGAAAGTAGTTCGTGGATTGACGTAATTTGCATAGTTATCAGATTTGGATACCAAGTTTATCAGATTGCTTTATTGCACCGATAACAACCTCCATTAGATGATAATGAAACCATATCACATATAACATAAATAAAACATCAACATTTCACAGCAATACACTTAATATCCAGTTAAATGTGATGCAGAGTCAATGTATGACATTAGAGTTCTGGCACTTTGTAAGGTGTCATAAGGTCATCTTTAATGTTGATTGTTGATCGACAGTCTTTCTCACAACAGTTCCAATATATGTGAATGTAAGTATTTCGTTTGGTCCTGACACTGAACTTACAGCCCCTGTAGACCAAGTACTGACCGCCTTGTCCATTGGGGAATAAACCAGTGTTTACTTGAACGTTTGCCATAGTGCAATGGAGAAACAAGGAAATCTCCATACTGTATAATAATTGTCACTGGTATAGTTCATTGAATTAAAATTGAATTTGTAGCATATGACATTATGAATATAGTTCACTCAGATCAAATATATTTGTCAGCAAGTGGTATGATTATCACTTTATCTTGTGAAATATGTTCACCGGCGGTCATGAGATTGCTCTGTTGGCCCTGATTGGAGTGCTGGCTGAAGTTATGTCACAGCCAAAGCATGGGTAACAAATTCACGCTGCACAATCACTGACCCGTAACTGTTAATCTCTTTTAATCCCCCAGTAACTTGGGTAAGTGAGAATGAGCCGTTGACGGTGTCCTCCAATTTGTGAGAACTCCCACTTGTGAGACACATTAATTAATGGTTCAGTGCACATAGGTGGTGTTTCCACATCCCTACAATGAAAGTGGGATCAGCCCAGCCCAGTACCCACAGGAGGCATAGTTCATTGATGAGTTGAATCATGAAACAGATTATCAAAGATTATATTTACACAGAAGAAATAGTGCCTTGAATATTTTATTTATTCAGAAGAATATGTAATTATGATAACACATTTTTATTGACTATTATGAAGTTTGAAATTCATTTTTGTTTAAACATATTTTATTATTATTTATGAAAATGAATTGGGATTGGTGAAGTATTACTGCTTAAGTTAACACCGCTCCCATGCAACATGAAATATAATATGAAATGGAGGATGTGACGTCATCGATATTGACTATTGCATAAATATATTTTTAAGTACATATAAATATATACAGATTACATCAAATACAACTTTTCTCTAAGTAGTCATAATTAGAGACTTACAGTTGTGTGTGTCTAACAAGTTATTGTTGGAATATAATTCAATCACGAGAAGGTTGTTGAGTTAATTTCAGTATTTCCCTGTGAAAATTTGAAGGTTGTGACTTGATGATAAAATCTGTGGTTTACACAAGGAGTAAATTCTTTTTTTCCGTTAAAAAAATTATCCAGGTTTTAACGGGGTAGTTGATATCCTCAAGAGCAACATGTCTGTAAATGTCTTTGGAATTTGGTAGGGCATTCCATAAATTTATTGTGTCGGGTAGAAAGGGTTTGGCATAAGGGACATTTCGACTGTAAAATTCAGAGTTATTTCAGAGTTATTACTTAAACTATAGCTTGTAGTTTCGGAGACGGAGTAAATCTGAGTAGGTACATTAATTTCTCTTTGATCACGAAG